GCCTTGAGGAGGCGAAGTAAAATAAATAAAAAAAAAAAATTGTAGTTGACTGCTAGGATTCGATATTGAACTCGCTCCAAAAAGAAAGTGTTAGCTAAAGCGCTTTCATGACGAGGCATCAAACACAGTCCATTTCCATGAAAGCCAAACAAAAAAATTTAAAGTGAACATTTTCAATGTTGGTTTAGATGATCTTATCCAGCAGATTGATTCAACATTTGAAACAAGCAGGGTGGTTGGCAATATTTTCATTCTTCAAGTTGAATAATAATAATCTTTCTGTTTAAAATAAAGCATGAAAACTCGCACGGTTTCATCCGAGAGATGTAAGCAAAAAGAATAAGTTCGCTGTTTTACCAATGCCCGCAAAACACAGTTTTCAAGAAAGCAATTTAATGCAGTTTCTTGATCTAATCTTTTAGAAAAAGCTTGAACGTCTTTTTTCATATATTTGCATCATGCCTCGAATTTTCAACACCATTTTTAAGTCAGTTGCTGAGGGTGAACGATTGTTTTGTAAACTGAAAGTTGTAAAAAAACTCTGTTAGACAATGTGTCAGGATCACGTTACTGGTATTTGATTATTTTGATTAAAGAAGATTCGACTGAAAAGGTGAGTTACAAAAACTATTTGGCCGCCCAAATTAAAATTTGGGCGGCCAAAATAGCTCAAAAAATCATTTTAAAGCAATTTATTACCTTTCTTTAAAGTTTTATTGATTGATTTTTTAATAGTTTTAAAACTAATATTTTAATTCATGTATCAGTTTTGATTAATGAATCGTTTCTCAATCCAGAGAATAAAATAGTAACGCAAAAATGCAATGTGCTGTATCAGAAATAAATAAATTGCTGCGTTCACAAAATGTTTAAAATTTTAGCATTTTTAATTTCTTGGTTTGAATCAGTGATATTTTTGTTCGGAAAATAATTTTAGTTTTAGTTTTTATTCAGTTTAGAGGCAAAGTTTTTAGTTCTAGTTCTTATTCAGTTCAGTAAATAAATTTAGTTCTAGTTTTTATTCAGTTCATCTTAAAATAATTTTAGTTTTAGTTTTTATTTAGTTCAATTTTCGTTTGTGGTATAAATTTTTTATCTCATCTAATTATAATTTAGTATAATTTATAAATAATATAGGCATATATAATTAAAAGAAGTAAGTCTTAGTTCTATAAACAAACAAAAAAATGAGAACCTAATTAAATGTAATACACCCAGTCCCATGGCTAGAAGTTTAGAGCCCCGCCCACCGTCCTTAATAAAAAACACAACAACAACCTCTCCTTATTGCTCTAAAACTTAAAAAAATTTCAATTATTAGGTATAAAAAAAACTCCTCAAATTTGGTAACAATAAAAACTAATGAATAGTTATTGTATAGACTTTAATAATTACTCATATATTTTACAAATAAAGGGCCTAGTGATTATATGATTATCATCTAGACTAGATGAGAATTTAGTTTTAAGAAAACTCGCATTTCCAATGACGCTGACATTCGATTTCTCCGTCCATTTGTGAGCAAGCTACAGATTGAAGAAAGTCTTTCAACATATGCTTGAGTTGCAGGAGCTGCAATGAGGTCTTCAGCTAATGGTGCAATATGTGGGTAAACAGCACGTCTCATCTTCCAGAAATTTAAAGCATTTTGGCACATAGAGCTGTTCCTTATTTCAATAAAATATTTGTTGAGTTCATTTTGTGCTTCATTACCTGGAATAAGCTTTATTTTTTCTACTCGCTGTTTTGCCGCTAAAAATTTCCATTTTGTTAATCCATTTATTTCTGGAGCAATCTCAACAGAAAGAGTAAATGCACTTGCTAAAGGTAAATCATGTTGCACCGATTTTTTAGCCTCTGACAAAATGTATTTCTTTGCACACTCTCTGATTTGTGTATGCTCATTACCTAAAAGAGCTATTGCACATGTGGGGTCAAGTAGACATGCGGCACATGGCAGTGGATTAAAATTAAGATCGTTTGGCTGCAAAAGAACGGCAAAACGACGACGTAGATCTTCAAGCATTTTAACTGCTACATCTTTGGCATCTCCAAATTGCTCAAGGTGACATTCTAAATTAAGTATTGAAGGTATAACACTGGATAGTGAAAGTGCATCCGTCTGAAGAATATCAGTTTCATTGGCAAAAGTTTCTAAAAGATTGACAAAATCCTGAAGCATTATCCATTCGCTATTGGCAAGTGAATCAATGTTAAGGTCTCCAAGTACTTCGTTGATAGATGTCTTTATTTCCAGAAATCTCCCAACCATAAAGTAAGTGCTGTTCCATCTTGTAGAACAGTCGCTGATCACAGTCTTACCACATTTGTTGATAATTTTTTCCAATGCAACAGAAGATTTGCGAACTTTTCCCACTAATCCACGTACCTTCAAAAGTAAGCCATGATATTTACCATCATACGCAAGTTTTACAACTAGCTGTATAACATGTGCAATGCATCCCAATCTTCTAAATGCTACGTTTTCTATTACATCAACTATCAAGTCAACATGTTCCCACTCTTCACTATTTGTCATATTCTCATCGTCTTCCAGATCTGTTATCTGCTCTTCATTAACCTCACTTTCTAATTCAATAAGTATATCACGTTCAGCTTGAGCTTTCATTCTCGACAACTTTATGCCTTTGACCATGTTTGCTCCATTGTCCGAAATAACAAGCAATATTTTTTCTCTGGAAATATTCCAATATTTTAGGCATTTTTCAAAACAATTAGCAATTTGTTCACCTGTATGTGGATGTTTCACAAGATACAAATTAAGCAGAACATGTATTGGTTTTTCGGATTTGAAGTGAAAAAAACAAACCGAAATTCCTAAAAAGGACGCAGTAAGACCTTTTTTAGTCCAGCCATCAAAGCATATTGTGAAGCGCCTGCCTTCAGATATGAAGTCACGAAGTTTTCTCGTTAAAACAGTAAATTCTTCATTAAGTAGGCTAGTAATTTTGGCAGAAGCAGGCAATGAAAATTTATAATCCAAGATATTAACTAACTTTCTAAAACTCGCATTATCCACCAATGTCACTGGATTACATGTTGCAATTATCATTTGAATAAGAGAGTTTAGTCGAATTTTATGCTCGTGTGAATTAATAGGCCATGCGGTATTCCTACGATTAATGCATTGAATCAAGGTCTGGTTCTGATTTGAGGACGATTCTAAAAGAGTGGGTCCATTTTCATCCACTGCTTTTCTCTTTATCCCTGTTTGCTTTTTTTCACCTAATTTCTTTAATTCCGACTTTTCCAGCTCAACGTGTACAGACTTATGGTTTCTTGCTAAATGTAGCTAGAAAAAAATAAACATATTTATATAATTTTTTGTTTGTATATTTATATGTTTATTTATCTATCTGTTTATCAATTAATGTATAAATAAGTTCGTATACGTTATTGAATAATTACTCTAAAATGATAAAAATGAGTCGTTTGTTTCAAAATGAAAACATATCCTCTAACAGATAAACTAACTTTAAGATTTGTTGGGTTCTTTCCACACAACTTTGTATTGCATACTTTTTCACCATCAAGTAAAACTAAACATACTGATTTGTCGGATGACGCATCGTATTTAAACCATTTCCATACTGAACTATTCCTCTTCCTACCAGCAAAAAGTTTACTCAAACTCATCGCGTAGTTGTGTTGGTCTTACAGTTTGATTTTTTTTAGTTCGAAAAAATATATTCGAATAAATATATTCAAACTATATCATAACTAAACTTATTCGAACTTAATTGAATAAAATTCAATTAAGTTCGAATAATATATCATTATAATGTATTGTAATATAATAATTATATATATAAAATAATTCAACTCGTTTCAAATCTAGAACGAAAATATTTCGTTTTAAAATAATTTTCGATTCAGTTTTTATTCCGTTCGAAAATTTAAAATTGTCGTTTTTATTCTGTTCTCGTTCTTAAAATAAATTTCGTTTTAGTTTTCGTTTTCGTAAACGAAAGGCTTTCTTTTTTGTTCTCGTTTTCGTTCTCGTGTACGAAAATATCACTGGTTTGAATTAAGGGCGCCGCTCTTCATTTTCGACTCGGGCGCCATTGGCTCTCTCGAAGGCCCTGATTACATGCATAACATATAAAGATATTATAACAAATAAAAGGGGGAAAATTTTTTAAAAAGCTTTTTAAAATTTCTAAAAATATAAAAACACAGCTAGGTATTTATTGCACATGTATCATGATAGAGTTTATGGTTTTAATGTGCTTAATAAGAATTGAAGCGACAACTTTCTTTCTTATAGAAAAATTTCTTATAGAAAAAAGATTTTACAAGGAAACTTTAATTTACTTTATAATTAACAGGGCAAGAATCCTAATAAGCTAATAAGCTGCAGATGGCCTGAAAAAAATTAATAGAAACTTATTAAAGGAATTAATAATAAGGTCCGTTCCCGTTTGTTTTTTACCTAAAAGTTTACAGAAGTTGTAAAGTATTTAAAGTTAACCATTAACTCAAAACAAAGATTTATACTGTGCTCTTTTAATATTTTATTTTAACATTAACATTTACTTGATTTTTTTTAGGTATATTTGCTGAGCTTTTTTATTGCTTTTTTAATATTAGGTCAAAGTAGGTGTTTAATTAATTGGTACTTGATGAAAAATAAATTACACTTAAATTAATTTATTTTGACATTAAAGATTACTTTGATAATCTAGCTCAAAATAAATTACGTATAAACAAAAATATTGTAGGATTAAAAAATATTTTGATAATCTAGTTTAAACACGAACCAACCATTTTTTATACTATTCATTTTAAAGCAAAACTGTTTAAACTACTTTAGACTGTTTGAATGGTTAAAAAAAAATAACAATTATAATAAATATGCAAAAACAATATTAACGATAGCAACAATAGCAATAATGATAATCTTAATAATGTCCAAAACATTATTAATTTGTTATAGTATTGATAAAAACAAACATAAAACTTTTATGTTTATTGCTTACCTTAAAAATGGTGGCAAAAGTGATGCAAACTCGAAACTTTCACTCATATCTCCACGCATCCCTCTGCCACGTGGTTGATAAAAGCGCAAATATGACCAGCCAACAATAATACCACAACTCATCATTATTGGTTGAGTGTATGAAAAAACTTTGACAACTGATAGGAATACATAAATTAATACACATATTAATGGGCATTCCTAAAAAAACATACTAGTAAATTTTTTTTTATTACATAAAAACTTGTTTGATACTTTACAAGATTAATTAAATCAAAAATCATATTATTTTAAATCATGACACAATTGTTTAGTATAATCCATACAATATTATGCTTATCGTGATAATAAGATAATCAAAAGTAACACTATGTTGATTATATTAAGGTAATTAAATGTATTACTAATAGTAAGGTTATTATCCAAAATAAATGATCAATAGCTAATAAAATATTAATAATAGTAACCATTCAAATAAAAAAGTAAAATAACAATTATATAAATAAATATATTTAAAAAAATCAAATGATTCCTTTCTAATTGTAGAGCTAAATTTAAAGCAGAAACTACTACTCCGATATACATAAAATATAAACCAATTAAGAGCAAAAACTACTCACATGTAAATAAAATATAAACCAATCAAAAGCAGAGATTACTCACATTTAAATAAAATATAAACCTATCAAAAGCAGAAACAAATCACAGGTGCATAAAATATTAACCAATAAAAATCAGAAACTAATCACAGGTGCGTAAAACATAAACCAATCAAAAGCAGAAACTACTTGCATGTACATAAAATATAAACCAATCAAAAGCAGAAACTACTTGCATGTACATAAAATATAAACCAAACAAAAGCAGAAACTACTTACATGTACATAAAATTCTTTAAACTTTAGATTTACTTTTTGATCTGGGATTATCTGTTTAAAGGCAACCATCAATCCTCCAATAACACCAGCTCCACCAGAAAACTGAACTGACCTAAAGAAAATATATATTTTATTAGAAACATGTATGGCAAGATTAGCAGCAGGAGTAATAAAACCCACATTCTTATTTCATTTATTAAAAAAAAATAACATAGCAACTATTATAACATTTATTGTATGTTTTCTTAACATTGATCCCTTAAAATATCTAAATCATCCACATAAACCTTTCTTCACAATTTTCTGAAAATAAAAATTAGTTTCACAATATAAAGGAAAAATTCAAAATAATTTCAACAATTAAAAACCTTAAAAACAAAAAAACTTACCACAAATCATAATTTTGTGTGCTTGCATATGCAGCAAGTGAGACTAAAGATGTTAGTAATGCTGTTCCTATGCCTGTTATAGCAATATATTTCTGGAAAAAAAAAGTACTAAAAACTTTTAATTAGAAAATAAATTTAAAAATTGGCTAAAATAAAAATTCATTTTATAAAAGATGATAAACATGGTAATGTATACCATATCTTTTATAAAAATAATGAATTTGATTACAAACTGTAATTGGCATAACTTAATAGTAACAAAAACAAGAACAACAACAATAACAATAATAATGTTTAAATAATCAAAAGAACAAAATTAATAGCAACTTGAATAATATGATTTTTAAAACAACTTGTCTACCAATAATTCCAGTGCTCCCCATAATGGTTCAATAAATTTGCCACAATAAAAAAGAATAGGTATATCAAATACAACCTACAAAAAAAACAACAACATTTATTTAATAACAAAAATATTTATATAAAATTACAAATTTTTTACATTAATAAGCTATTTGTCTACTTTTAAACTAAAAATTTCAAACTAGAATTAAAAAAAATAACAAAACAAAAGCAATAAAAATAATTAATAATACATAAAATAATAAAACAACACATAAAATAATAAAAGTTTCGTTTAAAATTTAATGAAAAGAATAAGTAATAAATAATTTCAGTATATTACATAATAAATGATAAATAATTTCAATATCTAATAATAATTTAAACATATTAATATATTTTTTTGAAACATAAAATCATACATTAAAAAGGCTCGCTTCTACTAGTATCCCAGTTATTAAAGTCCATAGTTGAAAGTTGGGCGGGAGTAAACTAAATTTGCAAAAATCATACATTTCTTCCTTTTTTTTTAAATAAAACAAAAAAACAAAAAAAACAACATAAAATTAAAAAAAATTTATTTCAACTTAAAATCAAAATTTAAATTTCATAAAAAAAAATTTCCAACCTAATAAAATATCTAATGAATTTCATTATTTACTTTTATAGATAACTTCAATTAGTAATGATTTTGGATTATAAGTAATTAAATAAATTTTATGCAATTAAAGTTTATGCCAAATATGTTAGTGTATTTTACAAAAAAATTGCTTAATGTTCTAAAAGAACAGAGCAGTAATAAATTAGTAAAGAAAAAAAAACAATTGTCAACTGGAGTTTCTTATGCTACTTTGATTTTTAACTAATTGTTGTTTAAATATAGTTAACATGTTACATATTAAAAAAGTTAAATCTTACAGTGATGGAGTAATAGATAAAGCCCCATACACACCAGGTATAAGTGCTAATATATATGAAAAAAAGATAGCAGCAATTGATGATTTAATAACAATAGATGCATCACCAGTAGTTTTTAAAAAAGAGCTAATAAACTGTTGCATCACATAAAATTTTATCTAAAAATGAAAGCAATCAAAATGATATTAAAATTAAAAATAAAACTTTAACAGTTTAACGCATTTATAAATAAAATTAGGAAAATATAAATACCAATTATCATGTATTCAATCTCATAACATTTAACATGCAGTCAGCAAAAAAGCCATAGTAACATTATGAAGAAAATGCTGCAAAATTTTTAACTGAAATATAATGTAGCACATTTGTAAAATCACTTGCATTTATCAAATATATCAAATGAGATTATAATATTTTGAGCATACTGTATTATTTTGAACTATATATTAAAACGCTATTTGTATTCATCTATTTACATATATAAATATTAACTAACATACAACATAAATATTGGCATATTTTTATTTGCATTAAAAATAAATATAGTAATATTGCGCAGCCTTGCATCATAATTGAATTGCATGGTTATTCATATATAATGTGATGTGTATATGTGTTTATATATATATATATATATATATATATATATATATATATATACACATATACACAAATTATTCATATAAGCTGTGGGGTATATATATATATATATATATATATATATATATATATATATATATATATATATATATATATATATATATATATATATATATATATATAATAATGTCTATAACTTTTAATATCATTTATTAGAGTATGGATTAAGTATTTAGAGTATATATTCAGCAATGTTGAATAACAATTCACATCTTGTTAAGCAAATCTTAGAAGAATTTAATTAAAACTTCAGAAAACCAGCAGAAAACTCTATCAAAAATCCAGTGGGTTATTAGCATGCGTGGTTGAACTACATATGGAAGTCTTTATATTTGGTTTAGTCTCCGAGCGATTTGCTGTTTCACTGATATTTGGTGGTAAGTGAAGTTTCTATAAGTAAACTTTTTGAATTAAAATTTTGACTAAAGTTTTATGGCAAAGACAGCCAAAATAATTTACATAAAACAAATAAATACAAACACACATGCATAAACTTTTATATATAAATATCTTTGTGTGCTTAGTCTTGCATGAAATATCATTGGTGAAGTCATACTGCTATAGCTATGAAGGCTTTGTTATATATAACTAGAAAGCTGTCTGGATTTAAACAGCATTTTAAAAATTAAGGAATGCAAAATACATTAAGACAGTGCAAATCTAAATGCACATACAATAACATACATATAATTAAAAATTTATATCCACACATTTTAATGGACTAAATTGCTCTTTTAAACTTTTAAAATGTGCACTTAATTCCAGACCATTTAAAAAAATGTTTAACATTTTTTTCATTCTTACTTTATCTTTTGTATTTAGATACTAGATGCCAAAAACCAAAATTACCTATATAATTTAATATGGAGACATATGTGACATTTCATGCACAGATAGGAACATTTTTATCAATATATGCACATAAGTATAAACTAAAATTACCTCAATGGAGAATCTCTTTCTTTTTAATTTGAAAGCCAAATCAGATGTATTTATATCATATCCAGAAATGCAATTTAAATGGGCAAGTTTTTTTACATGCAAAAGACCTAGAACAAAAAAATTAAAAAAAACATACAATAAAAAATGTGTTTCTGTAAATATTAATATGGTACAATAAGTAAATATATATAAAATATAATTAATATATCTCATATATATATATATATATATATATATATATATATATATATATATATATATATATATATATACATATATATATATATATATATATATATATATATATAATCTATTGTGATCAGTGTTATCAGATATATATATATGATCTATTGTGATCAGTGTCATCAGGTATAATAAATAAAAAAATTTGGAAAGTGGCAAAAATGTTCTTAATAGGGATGATGGCTAGGGCGGGTCAAAACTATACTTTTTTTTTAATTTTGACAAGCAGCTCTAATTTTTCACACCCTAATTTTTCCACAAAAAAAAATTAAATTTTTTTAAAAAAAAGTTTCATTTTTTTAACAAAAGAACTTGAAGCAAAAAAAAAAAAATTGTTGCTCATTTTCAGAATTATTAACTTCATGCCTTAAATAAAGTTTCAGAATATGATATCATAAGAACTTTTGCTATGCTACTATGTACTTTTTTAGTTTATTCTATTTGTTGCATTTTATTCTCTATACATAGTATATTTAGTGTTAGTGTATATATTTGTCTTCTTTTTATTTGTTAGTAATTGAAAATAAAATATAACTAATAATAAGCAACACATTGTATCATGGCAACATTTCATACTTGCAGTAAAACTGACAACTTAACATTTGGACAAGGTTCTAAATTTCCAACTGCAATGGTTCCTACAAAAAGAGATGTTGCAAAATATTGCTACTATGTTCGTAGAAATGAAGATGCTAAAGCCAAAAAATCAAGTTCTGCTCATAAATGTTACAGATTAGTTACCATTGAAATTGAAAATATTTGGCATAAATTCAGTTTTCCAGCAATTGAAATTTGACAACAATAAATACACTCTTGGGGTATTTCTCGATCTCTTAAAAGCCTTTGACACTGTTGACCACGAAATTCTTCTTTATAAACTGAATAATTATGGAATAAGAAATAATTTAAAATGGTTTTGCTTTTACCTTAATAATTGGAAACAAGCAAGAAAGAAGGAAAATTTAGATTAATGGAAAAAGCATCCAAATTAAATAAAACTTCAAGACTTAAAAGAAATTTAATGAAATTTAATTATCTAGTTTTGAAGTTTACTTTAAATTTGAAGAAATTTAATTATCTAATTTTTATGACAAATTGAAAGCTTTTGACAGCATGTTTGATATATCTTCATGCAATTGTTATGATTTAGGAGTAGAAAGATAAAAATGTACTTCTAAAGTGCTAATAAAAGAGTGGGATGCGTTTGTTGGGCAAAAGAAACAAATCAACTACTTGATCCTACACATCTACTTTAAAAAAAACTGAAACTAGAAAAAAAAAAAAATTGTAACAAGGCAAAAACAATTAAATACATATAAAAAAGTTGAGAAAAACTTTGATAGACAAATTACTGATGACAATTTCTATGAATCAGAGAATAATATCATACTAGATGAATCTAATAATGAATACGACAAGCTATATGACTCTGATGTCTTAAAATAATGTAATCAAAATAGGTTTCATTACAATGAACTAGCAATCATAGCAGATCGTTATCGTGTCAGTTACAGAACAACTACTGCTATTGTCAATGCTGCTCTAAAAGATATGGGTATACTAAATGAATCAAACATGCTTGATAGGAAAAAAGTAGAAAGAGAAAGACTTTGTGTTGGACAAATGTAAATAAAAGAAAATGAAAAAATTTGAAATTACAATGTATTGATTTTGAAAGAAGGAAAAACAATACAATAACAACTGCAGGGATAATTAAAGAAGAACATATTACAATTGTTAGAGAACCAAAAAGCAGATATATAGATTATCTAACACCTAATAATGGAACTCCTCGCTGCATTGCTAATGAAATTCTCTACTTAATATTTGAAACTGGCAGCAGTGGTTCTTTAAATGCTCTCTAATGTGATGCAACTGTAGTAAATACTGGAAAATTTGAAGGGGGGGTTATATATAAAATTGAAACAGAACTCAAAAGATCTATGCAGTGGCTCGTTTGTCAACTGCATTTAAATGAACTTCCCTTTAAACATGTATTTGAGTTGATTGATAGAAAAACTTCTGGCCCTGGATCATTTAAAGGTGAAATTGTTAAAAAAATAACAGAGGACTTAACTAATTTAGCAGTAGTTCTTTTCAAAAAAATTAATGGTTCTTTTCATTTAATTCCAGATAATATCTTTATTGAATTAAGTTCAGATCAAAAATATCTTTACAGTGTCTGTTTAGCTATTCAATCAGTAGATGTTTCAAATGAAATATCTAATAATTCTCCTGGAAATCTTCATCGTGCCTGATGGCTCACAAGAGCAAATCGTATTCTGTGCTTATACATTTCTACAGAAAAGCCAACAAAAGAACTTATTGACTTGGTTACAACCATTATGCAATGCTATGCACCAGGATGGTTCCAAATCAAATCAAATTATTTGGCAATCAATGGTGCTTAAAATTTTTGGTATCTTGCTCAATTAATTAAAAATGTAGTTGTTAATGTAAAATACAAGGAGCTAATGGAGCAAGTTTTGAAGCAAAACCCATATTTTTCTAACCCAGAGAATATTTTATTGGTGATGATAAGTGATGAAAAAAAACAAGTTAGAACTACAGCAATTCAAAGGATTCTTAAATCCACAAATATTAGGGAATCCAATAGACATTTTAAACTTCCTACAACATTAAATCTTGGAGCCAAAGATTACTGTGAATTAATAAATTGGGATGTCAAGGAAGTTCATTCACCACCTTTACTGAATGATTATTCAAATGAAGATATTTTGAAAGCCAATGACAGTCCATTAAGTATCCTATAGTATCCTTGTCATAGTCAGAATATGGAAAGAATAGTTGGAGTAGTCACAAAGGCATCAGAAAATAGATATGGCTACGAAAAACGTCACAAATTTGTAATAAACTTGTTGGACTCCAGGGGAAAAATGCCTAAATTTGATTGGAAAGGGGAATGGAAATAAGACATTTATAAAAATATGCATTTTTTTAATAGCCTATAAAAACAATACATTCTATTATTTTTTTTATTTCTAAAGTTTTGTTTCTTTGCTTAAAAAAGGTAATATATGAACAGAAAGCATTTTAAAGCTTATATCCCTTATTTCACACCTTGTATCCCTTATTCTAATTTAACATTTTTGTAAGTATACTTACAAAAATGTTAAAATATTTTGTATTAACATTTTTGTAGTATACCTAAATGATTACAATTATATAAAATAAAACAATTATAAAATAATTATATATATAAGTTGCTTATACCCCCTTTTTCTCTAAAACGCCAAAAAAGCCGATTTTGTGTGCGACCACTATGGAGGCTAGCACAGACCTCAAAATATACATCCTATACACATATATAGGAACCCCCCACAATATGCTGCTTCTTAAAAATTTTTTTTGACCCACCCTAATGATGGCGATAACGTGATAACAAAAGCTTGTGGGCAATTTTTTATTAGATCACCTGACTTCAATATTTAATCCTATTTTGTATTTTCTAATGCTCTTTTTAATGTTATCTTTTAGAAGTTTTATTTTTACATAAAGTTTAATTAGATTTTCATATAGATGCTGCAAAATATGCATTTTAATGAAACAATTTTATTTTACTCAATCTCAAGTAGCTGGGATAGTTAAGGTAAAAAAAGAAATTTTCCGTTACGAAAAATATATAACAAGTCAAAAGTGATATATTAGTAAATAATCAATACAAAATTTTCTTTGAAAATAGTTGTAAAACTATAACTCAACAAATCTTTTTTCATACTTTTAGTGAAAAGATTATTTAAACTATGCACCGTTCATAAGCACGGCTTGTTTTTTTGCCACTCTCCGTTGTTTTTCCTTTTTTGAACTCTCTGAATTGATCCCTACTTTGCTGAATGGCCAACATTATTTCTTGCCAGTCCTCTTCATTGTGAACAGAATTAACAAACTCTGACACAAGCTTAATTGCCCTATCAGAGCAGTCCTTGACTACATATATTCGGCAAACAAATTCAATGAAAGTTTTAAATTGGTGGATAAAGCCCCGAAAAGATGAAAGACACTTCAGCCAAGGTTTATCATCGTCTTTACTCAAATTTAACAGACTGAAAAAAAAAAAAAAAAAAAAAAAAAAAACGAATTTTTATTAACCAACTGTGACAAGCTAGGTATTTTCTCTGGTGAGAGGTCTAGACCTTTTGGCAGGATTGGATTTTCAGACTTCTCATAGTGTGTAGGAACAAGTAGGGAGAAAATAACTTTTGCAACTTTTTCTTTCTCATCATCTTTGAGTTCTTTATCTGTGAGACATCAAAATCCAAATACCATTGTTTCTCTATTGATTTCAATATCTCTTCAATTCGCTCAAGTACATCATTAGTTCCTGGATCATAAGATTCTACCCAACTTTTATTGTGGACCATCTGCAAGTATGCTTTTATATCATGAAAAGGTGCAGAGGAAACTAAATAGTAATGCACAAACCACCCAGTAAAAAATATATAAATTTTACTGATTTCTTTTTGCAAACTAGCTATCAATTGATAGGGCAACTGATTAAAACTTGAATTTTTCAAAATAATATGTAGACTTTGCCATAAAACATGCATGGAAAACTGATCCTGGAGCATTTACATTAAAGCTTACATCTGGACTTAACTAGGTGAGTCTAAGTTCTACTAAATCTTGAAAATCACCTCTTGGAATTACTAAATTAGCAAGTGAGTATTTTCAAAATTGAACAGTTTCACCAATCTGTTTTTATAGATACATTTCTTTAACTGCAACTTTGTCAAACTTTTTGAACTTTGATTTATCCATAGTTTCATTTGTAGCATTCCAATTAGCTTGGAAAACTTTGAACATTCTTTTCAGGAGCATAAATTTTACTAATGTAATTTTTTTT